GAGGACAGTCCGGCGCCGCTGCTTCGCCGGGGAAAGCTCAGCCGCAGGCGAGCGGGTCAACGGGAGGTGCGGCGACGCCGTCGCAGGGGAAGCCGAGGGTCAGAGCTAGGAGAGGCCAAGCTACCGATCCCCACAGTATAGCTGAAAGAGTAAGTTTTTTTTTTTTTTTTTCTTCTTCCATTTCCTCTGTTTTCTTGAGAAACAAACAGAGGCAGAATTATTCAATTTCATTAATCAATTTTATTTGATAAATTAATTGTTAAATCATATAAAATGATAATTATGGTGTACAGTTAAGAAGGGAAAGAATTGCAGAGAGAATGAAGTCGCTCCAGGAGCTGGTTCCCAATGCCAACAAGGTAAAATTCACCGAAATATATCGTCGATTTTTATCTAATTATGTCTGTGAAATCGTATCGAAATAATCATTGATCATTTCAAATCGATTATCTTAAATTTCCGGTCTCCCTAATTCGTATAGAGTTAGAATGATATTAGATCTTAAATCATTAGTTGCATAAAATGACTCTCTAGAATGATGGACACGTGTCAAGTGGGTAAGAAGGCGGGAGGGATTTAGGTTTTTTTTGTGTGTGTTTAGTTCTTAATTACGGGATGGGAGTTGATAGGTGGGTCCCATCAGAACTGAAAATTGAGATCAGGGGGCCGCAATGCGCGGCGGATTGGTCGGGGGAGAGAGAATTATCAGTGGGAAATTAATCAAATGATGATTTAGTTATATTTTTTATATATATTTCAGTGGATTAGTTTGACAATTAAGGATTAATTAAGAGATTAATAACGATTCTGATCTGGTTTTGTGGGGGGAATGACAGACGGACAAGGCCTCAATGCTGGACGAGATCATCGACTATGTCAAGTTCCTCCAGCTCCAAGTCAAGGTAATTAACTTTAAAATTTAATTTCTCCCATCCTCTTTTAAGTTTTAATTACCCAACAATTAACTAATTATAACATTATTATTCTTCTATTTTCCCTCTTTTTATAGGTACTTAGCATGAGTCGTCTCGGCGGTGCTGGCGCCATCGCTCCTCTCGTCGCCAACGACATGTCCTCCGAGGTAACCCCGACTTCGTCGCTTCCAACGAAAATCTCGTTTTATTTTATCTCGTTGCTACGTCCTAGCAGTATATTCGTGTAACGATGTCAAAATAACATAAAATATCGTACGAAATATAAAATTAATGGTTACAAATTGATCACAATTACCTGTTTTATATATATATATTATGTATTTTAGTTTACCCGACATTCGCCTTTTTCTCTGTTTTTGCACTCAAATCAGAAAAGAAAAGAAAAAAACAGTCCTTGTGTTCATATCGTCAGCCGGAAAACGACAAAAGGAAAAGCAGCACGCGTGCCCCCTCTTTTTCAGATTCCTCTTCTTCCCCTTTTTAATAATTTTCGCCGGCGTTTTGTCTTTTTTCCTTTTGGCAGGGAGGCGGCGGAGACTGCATTCAGGCCAACGGAGGAAGCAACCCGGCGGCCACCGCGAACGGCGGCGGGTCCGAGAGCAGCATGACGATGACGGAGCAGCAGGTGGCGAAGCTGATGGAGGAGGACATGGGTTCGGCGATGCAGTACCTACAAGGGAAAGGGCTCTGCCTCATGCCGATCTCCCTCGCCACCGCCATCTCCACCGCCACGTGTCGCAACCAGCCCTCGTCGCCCAACTTGTCGGTCCTCACCGGCGGGGACGTCGCGGTCAAGGACTCCACGTCAGCTACCAAGCCGTGATCGTCACGCCGTTTACTCTTGACTTCGAGGGGACTTTTATCCGGTAAATAAAAAAAAGGAGGGAAGGAGACGGACGGAGACGCGAAGTGGTGATGACGTGTGCGACTGCGAAAGACTAGTGTAGTCTGACGTGGATGGATGGACGGAACGGGTTTTCTGATTTCTGCAAACGGAACGTTGACGAAGTCTACGGAAATAAGGGGTCGAATTGACTGACGGAGAATGAGTGGGATGCACGACGTCGTATTTGCTTAGACTTTGTTTTCTACATTTTAATTATTAATTAGTATAGAGCTTTAGCTAACCGCTTTTTTAAAATTTTATTATTCTGTATTTTATGTTGTATTTTGCTTTTTGCTCTAATTTCAACAAGACCACTACGGTTACCAAAAAAAGACAAGATTCGACCAGATCCCGAGAAGGAGAAGAAGGGATTTTCTTTTGTTTTTTTAGGGAGGAAAAGAGGTTTACTACATCATGATTAATTAATTATCGTGTATGTACTTAAAAATCAATTTTATAGCGAGTTGGATTAATAATAAAATTGCTATTTCCGGCCTCGTTTGTTGAAGGATTCCAAATAACTCGTTTGTGCTAATTAAGTATAGTGACATTAGTTGTTGAAGGTACAATGAATTATTGGTTTAGTCATTAGTGGTCTTAAAAGCTAAGGCGGGGTAGTACTGATTTTGTCCTGGTTGGTTCAAGTAATATTGATTTTTTTACCTATTATTCTTGTTTATTTTTTTACATAGTATTAGTATATGTGTGCTATCTAAGAATTGATTTTATGATTCAATACCTATTGATTTTCGATTTTTTCTTCCTCTGCTCATTCTTTTGTGTAGCTGTAGTGTAGATGCATCTATTAGAAAACGAGAAAGATTAGTTGTGGAATGTGTGTTGGTTAGGAACCTTGGATTGCATTAGGTCAAAATTGATTTCGATTTGGCAGGGTTTTAATTTCTGTATAAGTTCACGTGTCTATCATTGGATCCGAGACATAGAAGTTGTGTTTATCACGCGAAATCAACTGGATTATAAGAACCGTTTTTTTTTAGTCATGGTTCCATGAAATCATATGTGTTTGTTGAACCAGAATCACATAAAATAATATGTGTTTTAAATAAACAACAGTTCATAAACAAACCTAAACAACAATTAGTTAACAATAACAACCGTATACGATGTGACTGATTGAATAAAGTTTGAACGATAGCAAAGAACTAGAAACAACAGACAAGGTGGTCTACACTCAATGAGCTAGACTCCATCAAAGACCATGGGTGATAATTCTATGTATATGAGATTAGATTTGATTAATGAGTACTCTTTGGCTTGTGTTTGAACCTAACTGAGTGTAGGAGTGAGATTCACGAGAAAGGGTCGAGGAGAATAAGCAACAGGAATCAGCCTGGAACTTAGGAACAAAAGGAAGGAAGAATGGAGTTGAGAGAGTGTCTTTTAGAGAGAGAAGTTTGTTCTTTCTTTAGAGATAGAGTTTCCAAAATCCGATCCCCTCACCCACCGGAGTAAATGCCATATTTATAGGCTACATGGTGGTGGGTGAGTTACATGGTGACATGACTACTGACATGTCAGAGGACTAGACCATACCTCTACCTAGGATCACATGAAATAATATGTGTTTTGAATATACAACGTTTTATAAACAAATCTAAACAACAGTTAGTTAACAATAACAACAGTCTACAATGTGACTGATTGTATAAAGTTTGAATGATAGCAAAGAACTAGAAACAACAGACAAGGTGGTCTACACTCAAAGAGCTAGACTCCATCAATGACCATGGGTGATAATTCTATGTATAGGAGATTAGATTGATTTAATGAGTACTCTTTGGCTTGTTTTGGTTGAAACTTTGGAGGAAAGGAATGGAAGAAAGACAAATAACCCTAAAAAAAACAAAAGAATCGTGTCCCATGTGGATTACATTTTAAGTCAACGGCGTGTCACTTTTGAAGCCTTTTCTTCTTAATTTCTTCTTCTTGTTGTTTTGTTTTCTTATGTTGATTTAGTTAGTAAGGGAATCTAATAAAGATTACAAAAGAAAGAGATTAGAGGGTTAGCTCATACTTTATTGAATGTATGTATTTGGTTTTGTATTTATGTTTGTGGGTTTGTTACACTTCAAACAAAGAGTGGTTAGTGGGTCTGCCGCCGAACTATAGTACTTAATTGGGGATTAATCACACCATAGAGTTAATTCACTAATTAATTAACCAATTAGTATATGGCATACTCCCCTTACCACCTACCTAATGTCGTCCACTAGTTGTTTGTTGAATTGTTGTTATTGAGCCTTACTAATTCGAATTGTTCACGAGAAGTCTTCTCGTATGAATTTTTTTTAAAAGGACATGTCGATTGTATTACTTTCAATTTTGAGTTCATGTTGTGGATATAACTTTATTATCGTCAGTTCGATAATCCAATTATCTCGACACTGTCTCAAATTTCAAATTCTGTAACTATAAACAATCAAATGTGAGAATTTACGGGAGAAAATCATTGACTATTTACTAGTACTTCTACTTATTTTGAACTTGTTTTGTATTTGTAAGTGGTTAAGTAGCATACATGGATCTCTCCCAACATCTCGAGTTATTGGGACCAGTTCATTTATAACATGGTATCATAGCTAATTTATACTTGAGGTCACATGTTCAAGTCCTCACACACCCCCTCCCCCCATATTAACCGTTGTCTTTAAAGCACATGGTATGAGGAGGCATGTGTAAACTTCCCAAGTCTAGAGTCCCTTTCGTTTAACGGGGCGTGAAAGGAAGTGGTAAACTATTATAGATGGACCTCTCACAAAACTAGAGTTATTGGAACCATTTGGTTTATGACACTATTAATTCATAAATTTATATTATAAAAACAAATTTACAAGAAAATATAAGTGTGTTAGTTGTTATTATGCCCTGTTTCATCATATTTAACAAACACCCAAAACAATTTGTGTATCATAACACATCCTCATTTTTTTATGAAGTCCGGTAGTTCAAGTTGCTAGAAGGGAAGTTTTGTAGCCATATATTACTTGGCTCGAATTAAAGTGATGACAATCATACTTACCTACTTTGAGATGATTTATCCCATTAATACAATTCAACCCACCAAAGGGGAAAAAGTCCCTATCTCTGTCTAATCTCCATTATTAGGCATGTAATTAAAAAGAGTAAACAATCTGCTGTAAGAGACTTGAAGGTTGGAGTTCCGTTTTACCAATGTATTTCTCCAAAGAGAAGCTAAGTGCTGAAGTAAAATAAGATATCATGGTTAGAAGTAATTAGTAATTACCACTATAGTGTGGTTCAGGATGTCAAGGCATAGGGATCACAATCCATAATTATATGAAAAAATTTTATGGTGGTTGTCGATAATATTAAAATTATCGTTTATCAGATATTCATGATGATAGGTATTGTCATGAACCAGTTGCTCCCAACGAGTTATTGAGACCAATTGATTTTTGACATGGTATCAGAGCTAGTTTGACAAGTGGTTGTGTGTTCGAATGTCCACGACCCCAAATATTAACCATTGTATTCAAGCACATAGTATGGCGGGCTGTGCAAACTTCAAGCCTATGGATTGACTTTTGTTTGAGAGGGCGTGTTAGAGAATGGTATAAGATGCAGCATAATCTTCTCCCAACAACTCGAGTTATTGGGAACAACTGGTTCTTGACAGTATAATCTCGAACATATGCGTCAAGCATATATCCAGTTAGTTTAATGTTTTGACCCCCCACCCCACCCCAACTAATCACAATTAATTAACCACAATGCTTGGATTTGTAGCCACTAATTATAAACAAACTAGGTGGTTAAGACAACAGATTCACTCCATCAGAAACCTTGCTCTGTCCTACCTGTCACTCTCCCCCTCCCATCTCCCCACGTGGCAAGCTGTTCAAAGAAGAAGAAGAAAGTCATTTGGATAAGCCCTTCAGCCAGCAGAATGAATCTGGCAGAATGTGATGAAGTTTTGGTGTATCAGAATTGGAACCATTTGTTTAAGAATTGCAGCAGATCTTAAGGTTCAGAAATGAGAATTAACACTGCAGAAAGGCACATGGGAGAATTAAGTGACTTGCTCCCCACAAAGTTTTCAGCATATGGGGGATTAAACAAAAGGCTTTATAGTAGTAAGCCCATGCCATTTCCTCGCAAGGCAGAGTGAATCAGATCAAGATCAGAGCTCAATCAGTGCAGCAGATGGAATCAAAAGAAGCTGTTAGGTTCAGGCTGGTATTATTATCACCAAATCCCCATTATAATAAAGCCTCCTTGAAAGGGAAAGTTGACAAATTTACTCTCAAGACTTTCTAACATCCATCTGGGGGTTGAGGAGAATTCATGGAGGGAAAGGTTGCAGCATTCCCTCAATCTCTTGAGATTCAAGCAATTTCAAGAGGGTAGTTTCATGAAAACCCTACAGAATTGAAGCAGCACCTACCCAGAATTTTGTGGGTTTAGACAAGTTTCACTGCTCATAAGTCATAAGTTCAAACACAGGTTCTACTTTGAAGTTCAGAACTGGAAATGGTAGTTTCTGAAGTTCAGAACTGGAAATGGTAGTTTCTAAAGTTCCTTCCTGTTTGTAAAGACTACTCTAGTAAGCATTGAAAAGTAATCAGACCAGAAACAAGTGTGAACCACAGACTATAGACGGTAAATCGATTAAGAACAACAGTCGACAGCTACATGCTTCAGTTTTTAGTTCCACTACATCACCACAAGAACAATAGTGCATTGTTCTAAGTTTGAGTGAGACGGTTAATATAATCAGATCACAATCACAAAGCGAGCGAGCGAGAGCGAGCAAGCAGTGAACTCCTTTACTTGGCCCAGAACTCAACCTGAATACCAAACCTTGACCATAGCGATGATCCTGAACCAAGCTCTATACCCCTGCCAAAAATGAGTAAACTTGAGCTAATGAAGGCACCATTAACCATCCCCTAAGGAATCCATACATTTATCTTCCAACTAAAAGAATCTTATTCAATCATCCTCTTTCTGGTATCCAGCATATTCGTGCAAAACGTGCTGATCCCAACACAAGAACCCATGTCAAAGTTGGAAACTTCATAACAAGATCTCATCTTTATGCATTGAGCTATGTACAGCTATGAACCAATGCACAGAAACAGCATTTGGAGACAACCCACATAGCCAAAAACCCTAAAACCCCTAATCGTAAAAGTGGTAAGAAGATTCAGTTCTGAAGTAGCAAAGAACTAACTCATTAACCTTTCTGTGGAAGTACCAACGGACCTCCCCTGGTTTCCTTGTCATCCAATAGCCTCTGCACCCTCTTCTCCTTACAATACAGCCGATCGAAATGCTTCACCTAATCAAACCAAACACCAAACAAAACAAACCCCAATTTCCCAATTCAAATTTATTTTTATGGAGAAAAATGAATTTCAACTATCCCTGGCGTTTAGATTCAGTTCAGATCATTTATACCCAAGAAGGCCGGCAGCTGTTCTCGTACGCAAGCCTCGATTTCTTGCACTCGGCCGGATATAGGAGCCCGACGCAGCCGAGTTCCGTCGGTTTCTTGTCCGATTGCTTCTGCAAACAATCGTAGAAAGCATCGCGAGCCTGCAAACTTTTTACCAGATTCGTTACCAGAAAGGAACAATCTCTGTTCACTCGATGGAAGGGGAGAAAATGGGGACCTTGTAGCACGCTTGTCTGGCTTGAAAGAGGACGTCCGTGTGGACTTCATCAGTGCTTCTCGATGCGTAGGCTTCCGACGCCATTGATGTATTGATCTTGCAGCTCCAGAGAAAAAACGCGGCACCGACTCCCCAACCCGCCGCCGGCAAGTGAAGGTAGGAATTTCTGGAATCCGGGAGCTGAATGCAGAAACTGGGCTGGACTTCGCGGGATTCAACATGGGATTGGGCCTCGCCGAAATTATAAAGAGGGTGGAGATTAGTTTACTAGGCTCGCTATAAATGGGCCTCGAGATTGTCATGGCGGGCTGGGTTGGGTTTATGTCACAAGCAATTTGGCATATCGTTTTAGTTCTTAATTTCTTACGTTGCTTGATTGCTTGCTGGAATTTTGGCCGTGGTACTCTAGCATTCACTTCCATTTTCGTTTCCTGTTTTCTGTTTTCATGTCTTAAATTTGGCAACCGAAACGGAAAAATTTGTTTGCTTTTCATTCCGTTTTCTATTCGTTTCCAACTATGAAAACAGAAAGTGACAACTTCCTGTTGTTTTCGGAAACGACAAATTGTTGTTTTCACCTGTTTTCAACATCTGTTTTCTCAAAAACAGAAAACAGAAATGAAAATAAACAGGCCATGTTGAAATCGCGATATTTTGGAAGTCAAAAGAAGAATATTGTTGTATAAGATATGCATAATTTTGGAGGATTGTTGTGTTGGTATCGTTGGTCATTTAGCGGTTTATGAAACATGATCGTCTATTTAGTTGTTCGTCATTTTATTTTTTGTCGTGTGAGTTTTGCTTTGTTTCTTGATCTCTTTGTAGATAAAATGCTACTGCTTAGACTCTCGATCTTGTATTGTTTCTCTTAATCAAAGTCATTTAGCGGGGTCATAATTTGATAATTTATTCCACAACATGAGAATGAGATCCATTTTTTTAATGCTTCGTATTTTTTAGGCAAAGAAAAAGTCTTTTTTATTGTTATTGTGGAAGGTAAATAATTGTACCTTTCTATATTGACCTTTCTACATCTTATCTTCTAACTTCTAAGCTTGTAGCTTTTGAGATGGTGCAATAGTCGCCTATGGCCATTAGGGCTAAAGTCCACAGTTAGGCCAACTATCAAGGGGATTCACAAACAAACAAAGAAGTACTTGAAAACATATGTAACCAAAGCACAAGAAAATGGTCATTTCACATTTATTACGATCCTCAGAAATGACAATTCTCTTGTGCCGACACTACTCAATTCACTAGTTAAAAACTTAAAATACATCCTTCCAAATTTGACTCTCATTCTTGTCATCTATCCCCAAACCCCAAGCTAGAATCATACTAGCTAGGTTTCAGGATTGGTTTGGCATTTGAGACATATTGATTTGGAATCCTAATATTAACGTTTCAGGGTTATAGCTATGGTAATATGCAAATATTCGTAATATTTATAAATAAACTATCTTAATGTTTTCATTGTCAAGGAGTAGTTGAAGTGTAACGATATGGGGTTGATATGATATGTTTATGAGTTCAATTTTCACAAACCAATTTATGAACTCAAATCACCGGCTTCCTTAAATATTCGACATTCATGAGAGAGAAGCAACCTCTGTATGCACCACATTTTAGCTCGTGAAATATCTTTGCATATGCGCTAGTACGTATGATCGATCAATTGGATCAACCGAGTGATAAATTCTCATGATGTTGTCATTGTCAATGGGTAGCTCAAGTGTAACGATATGAAGTTGATATGATATGACAATGGGTTCAATTTCCACAAACAATACGTTAACTCAAATCCCCCGCTTCTTAAGTTTTTCGACATTCATGAGACAGAAGTAGCCTCAAACATAGGTGCGCCAACATTTTAGCTCGTGAAATATCTTTTTATAGGCGCTAGTACGATTCGATCAATTGGATCGATAGGTGAGATTATTGAGAAGGTACTAGATTTGGTGTTTGAGTGACCCACCACCACACACACAGTCTTTAAAATTCATATATATGGTACGTACTAGACAAGGAGGCGCCTGCTCCATTTATATCATAGGTCTCCATCTCTTCGTCCTTTGCCTCATTGCCTTGGCTAGTTGCAAGCATACTTCATTATCATCAATGGTGTACTCTCTCTCTTCCCCACTCACACTCATGCCATAAGGTTTTTGTAACTCTCTCATCCACTTTATCCTTTTATGGCATTCAACTACCATTCCAAATGGAGAAAATTACCCATATCTTTTGGTTCTTGCTTTGAACCCTAAAACACATATGCACCCAACTCATGCTTCCACACATATGTGTTTTGTAAAACGTGTTTAGGTATATGAGTTGTTGGGATAATCTGATTATTTGGGTGTTTTTTTCTTCCAAGTACAAGAGGTTTGGCCTCTTCTCTCACCTTATTTTGTCAACCATTAAATGGAAGATCTAACTTTTACACATATTACTGACAACTAGCTGGAGAGAAACAAAACATAGCATGGAGAGAGAAGTGAAGCCCTTCAACAATTATTATCAATATCTTTGATTAAAGCAAAACCCCTTACTATATCTAGTTGTAATTCAGTTTAAACTCGAAAATATGTATTGAGCACATTGTCAATTTATGCCACCTTATTTACCACAAAATATGGCCATCTATACACCATTCTTTCGCATTGAAAATCTACACCAATACACATTACACCCTGATCCGTCCATATGTGGGAACGTCCATTTTTATTCGGTTGTCTTTGGCCTCTTATACATTGATTTCGAGAAAAAAGTGTCCTACCTTTGTTAAAAAAATATGGGATGAAATAGCATACTTACCCCTAAAAGGTTGGAAAAACGACAATTTCTATCAATTTTAGGTTTTTAAGATAATTAATTTGTGTTGCATTTAATAATCTGTATGAATTAAAAATACATTTTAATTATTTTCTTTTTTTCAGTGCACTGGTAGTTGTATCAGTGCAATGGTATTAGTGTACAGGTGCAATAATATTTTTTTTTTTTTGACAATCAGGTGCAATAGTAGATGTATCAGTTGAATGGTAGTTCCAAAAAAGGAATGTAATTAATATGAGTTCAGTATACACGTGCAATGTTAGTTGTATGAGTGCAATGGTAGTTAAAAAAAAGGAATGTAATTAAAATGAGTTTTTAATTTCCAAAAATTATTAAATGCAACACGAAATTAATAAAAAAATAATTATAATTGATAGGGGTGTCATTTTTCCAACCCCTAGAATAGTTAGCATGCTAACCGACCCAAAAAAATATGATGTTTTTTGGTTAATTAATGGAGGAAGTGTGATAATGCATAATAATAATCATATATTTAAGCTTAATGGGTTTTAATGGGTTTTAATCCATTCATTAAACAGGTGTACTAATTGATTGATTAGGGGTACTACCACCTAGGTCCTCTCCATATAAAGTAGCCAATAATTTTTCCCTAAAAAGCAAATCACATCATTATAAACAAATCATCACCGTACACAAGAGATTAATGAAGTGTACCAATTATTATGAATGAGTACGGTCTCGATTGGTCTAAATAAGCTTTTTCTTATGAGCTTCAGATATGTTGATTTTTATAGTTAGTTGCTATATAGAAATTTTTAATATGGGACTTCCAGATTTAAGAGTGACAGTACTATCCCCAGGTCAGCCTCTTGTTCGCAAAATTTAGGATTGGACGGTTTGAATCATGGTCATTGGGAAGGAGAGCTAAAGACTTACCAATTAGATAGACATAGACGAACTCGTATATGTTCATAGAGTACCTATTAAGCAGTTAATACCTAACTTACATAGTAAATTAAGTTCAAACAATACAAATTAAATCACATCGAATTTGTCATCCATGTTGTACAATACTTTACAGAGCGACTAATTTTGCATCCATCTCGCACACCAAAGACTTCATGATTGATTCCTCATTTTACTCTTTCTTAGTTCATTTACTAATATACAAACTATTCTTTCTAAAGGATAGTTTGGAGAGTTGAATTCTAAATCTCTCCATTTAAAAGAATCCAATGGTTTTTCATTCTTCGGGTTTGTTGAAAAAATAGTTAAAAAAGTCAATTATAATTTCTAGCATGTAATGAAAATAATTGAGGGAAAATTCTAACAAAAGAAAAATTTCCCTTCATGAATCCATGAATTTGATATCTATGATTTTCAAAAATTTGAAATCCCTGAGCATATAATCTATGATATAAATAGCAAAAGAAAATTGCTCTTTAGGAATCCATGAATTCTATAAATCATGCTTCAAATCCCATTCTCCAATAAAAAAACGAAAACAACAAAGGTTGTCTTGTCTCTTGATCACATATAACTAAAACTAAGGTTGAACATGTTTAAAAAAAAAAAATAAGGGTGAACATCGATCAATTATGTCTAGAACCATATACAATTGAGATAGGATCGGATTAAAAGCATGTTTGGTTCCTTTCTTTTTACTCAATCCACTCCATTATTCCTGAGATAATCAGTAGAATCAAAATCAAATATAAATATATTTTATCCAAATATCTATCTAATACAATTCAGTCGGGTGTAGACCGTATCATTTTTTTTTTGACAATAAAGATACTTCATTTCATGAAATGATTGTGTTACAAGCAAAGCCAATCACAGGAGATGGGAGACAAGATCAAGGATCTGAATCCAATCTGTTGGGAGAGTACCATTACGCGCCTCTTTAGCAACCCAATCAGCTCTTTTGTTACAAGCTCTAGGTACAAAGGAGACCACGATTCTAGCATTGATTGAAAGAATATGTTGCATACAGTGAATCCATGCCATGATCTGCCACGGCCTCTCTTGTTGGGGGAAAGCAGAACGTCGGTGATGCATTTGCAGTCCGAGAAGACCCTAGCAGAAAAACCCGTGGAATGCGCGTACCTGAGAGCGACAAGCAAGGCTTTTGCTTCTGCAACAATCGCTTCTGAACAAAGTAGAGTACCGGCCCTTCCGTCGATTACTTGCCCAACAGTGTTGCAAATAACAACACCGTATGCCGCCACCTGTGATTCCGAGTTGAAAGCTCCATCACAGTGTATTTCCAGTTGAAATGAACTAGGTGGTGGGTTAAGAATCTGGCGGGATGGATTAGGCTGATTTCCATGAGGGGATCGAGGGACAAGAGAAGCATCCCTCCAATCCGTGGTAAGGTGGATTACTTTGGTGATAGTGGTGAGGCTGTTAGATCGAGTCCCTTTGAACACAAAATCATTGCGGGCAATCCAAATAGCCCATAATGCAGCAATTATAGCCTTGACGGGGAAGGATGATGAGTTCAGGGAGATACTTTGAAGCCACATGAGAATTGGCCAGTTTCTTGGAGGAAGAAGGAGGCCAGGGAAACAAGTGCTCCAAATGAGAGCTGCATGGGGGCATTCAAACATACAGTGATGCACGTTTTCAACCCCGTTCCTGCAAAGGAAGCAGATTGGAGAGCTGATCACCTTACGAAACCATAGATTCCTTGTCGTTGCAACTGCATTCCTCGTCAATCTCCAAATGAAAGTTTTGATCTTCGGAGGGAGAGTAAGACTCCAAAGCCATTTCCAGGCTTGGGTAGAGCAATCTGGGTGGTTCGGATCAGGAGATCCCAATCTTTCTCTTTCAGTGATTCTGAAAATGTGATAAGCTGATTTTACTGAAAACTTTTCGGATTTTTCGTGGTGCCAAACCCAAGTATCCTCGGTGTCAGGAGACCCACAAGGAATACGTCGAATTGCTTCCACTTCCGCTAGAGAGCAACTCTGTTGTAAGAGGTCGAGATTCCATTCATTCCCATCATTCATCACCCATTCAAAGGCTTTGAGCTGGGATCTTTGGGCATGCTGAAGGCGAAAACCCGGAATTCCAGGAATCCAGGGGTCAACATCAAGGATAATGCTTCTGCCGTTTCCCATGTTCTTTCGGGCTCCAAGCTTTAGAACTTCCCTGGCTTCACATAGGCTTGCCCAAATCCAAGAAGGTCTTCTACCTTTACCTGCAGTCAGGAAGTCCGAGTTAGGGAAATAAAGTCCTTTAAGAAGATTGATCCACGTCTCACCCTTTCCGTTAAGAATTCTCCATCCTTGTTTGGCAAGGAGAGCCAAATTGAATTGGTGGAAATCTTTGAACCCCATTCCTCCATCCTGTTTAGCAGCAGTCAGCACACTTGCTTTGCGCCAGTGGATGGTTCTTTTGTCCTGGCTTCCCCCCCCCCCCCCCCCCCCCCCCCCCCCCCCCCCCCCCAAAGAAGGCTGTAAGTCTTGAGTTCATTTTATTTGTTTTTTAGAGCTTCCCCATTCAAACGGGACCCCCAGGTATTTCCCCATTCCATCAGATGTTGGAATATTCATACATTCAGCAATTAGATGGTTAAGGTTCGTTGGAGTGTTCTTGCTGAATGTAATAGCAGACTTTTCA